GTGCATGAGGCCATGAGCAGCTGAGGCGGCTCAGCAGGGCACTGCCACCAAGCCAGGCAATCTGAGTTTGATCCTCGGGACCCACTTGGCAGAAGGAGAAAACCAACTCCCAAAAGTTGTCCTTTGATCCATACAAATAAACACACAAAGTTTAAAAAACATAATAAAAAAATTAAAGATAACAGGATACCCGTTAAGATATATAAATTTTAGGGTTTTTGTTTATTTCTTTAATTTTTTGACTGTCCTAGTGCTCATTATATAGATCTTTTTAGTCTCAAAACTCACAGAAATCTCCCTGCCTCTACCTCCTAAGTGCTATGACTAAAAGTACATGCCACTACCCAGCTAGTTTAATATTTTTTTTAAAAAGTCATTTTTATGAACACCAGTAAATGGAAGTAAACAGAAAAAAAAAAAAAAAAGACACGGATAATGGAAGCTAAGAAAATCAGATATCAGCCCAGGATCCAGTGTCAACTGACTGTAACTCTAAGGACAAGACAGTGGAGAGGGAGCTGTCAAAGAACTCCCTCAAGAAAACTCCTATAAAGTGCTAGAGTGTGTCAGTTAGAAGACGACTAGGTAAGGTCTTCCCCATAGAACTTCTCAAGTAGCCATACTTCGCTGGACACCTTAGACAGAAATTGTAGTTTTGTTTTACTCACAGGAACAAAATGATTAACAACATACGAAAGGGCTAGGCTGAAAGGATAACTCAACAGGCTAAAGGTACCCTGCCTAACCTAACAACCTGACTTTGGTCCCTGGGCCCCACGTGCTAAATTAAAGGAGAAAACTGACTCCTGCTCAACTGTCCTGACCCACCCACCCACCCCACAGAAATAAATGTAATTAAAAAATTGTAACTATGTAAGACCTACTAGTCTCATCTACCTTGGTTAACCCACAGCATTCTTGAGTATGACATTTTGAATGAATACGATCTAAGTTCTGAATCCAGGGAGAGTGATCCTGTATAAACCACTGAAGAAATTAGATGCTAGACCTCAGGAAAACTATGAGGCTATCACTAGCAAAAGAGGTCTCGTGAAAGGATGGGTTTATAGGACAATGGATTAGGCATCCATTCTTTTAAACTTGGACTTTCTAGGCTAGCTAGAGCTCCAGACCCTGTCTCCAAAGCAAAATAAAGAAAGGACAGGCATAGTACCCACACACCTTTAAACTCAGCATTCTAGAGGCTTTGAGTTCAAGACCAGCTTGGTCTACATAGAGTTCCAAGCTAACCAGGGCTATGTAGTAAGACCTTGTCTGAAAAAAAAATTTAAAAAGATAAAAAATAAGAGGAGGAAAAGAAGGAGGGGGAAAGAAATTAGCACTGTCCCCTTTTCTTTAATTAAATTTTTTTTCAAATATATTTTACATGTATGGGAGCTTTGTTTGAAGGTATGCACCACATGCATGCCTGGTACCCACAGAGACCAGAAGAGGGCGTCACATCCCCTGGGACTGGAGTTACAGATGGTTGTGAGCCACTATGTGAGTGCTGGAAATATATATAGGTTCTCTGGAAGAACAGCCAGTGCTCTCAAGTGGTGAGCCATCTCTCCAGCCCCACCACCCCCTTTTAAGGAGTATTTCATGAATGGGAGACACAATATAGTGCAGGATTATTTGTGCTTATTTCTACCCTTCATCTTAATGTTGTGCCAGATTCTGACAAGAAATTAACATCACTAAAATGGAAGACAATATTCTTTGATTAGAAATTACAGAGTTTCAGGCTACCTAGGGCTAAAGAGGGAGACCATGTGTCAAAAGAAATAAAGGGGGAGCAGAACCATATTGGAGAGAGAAATCTTGAACTCTAGCTTTGGACCTTAACAGGAATAAAGGAATCATAATGTGAAATCCCTAAATAAAAATTTATTGGGGGGCTAGAGAGATGGCTCAGTGGTTGGGAGCACTGAGTGCTTTTCCAGAGGATGGGGGTTCAATTCCCAGCACCCACATGGCCGCCCATAACTGTCTGTAACTGCAGTTCCAGGGGATCTGACGCCCTTATACAGACATATATGCAGGCAAAAACACCTATGTACATGAAATAAAATTTTAAAAAGAATATTTATGGGGGCTGGAGAGGTGGCTCAGTGGTTAACAGCACTTGTAGCTTTTGCAGGAGCTCACAATCATCTCTAACTCCAGTACCAGGGGCTCCAACGGCTTCTTCTGACCTCCATTAGCAACAGGCATACACATGGTGTCTGCATATACATGCAGCAAAACACCCAAACACATAATTTAAACATTTTTTAGAGATGTATTTATTTTATTGACTTTAAAAACAAAAATAAAAACTACGGTGCATGCCTTTAATTCCAGCATTCAAGAGGCAGAGGCACTTGTATCTCTGTTCTAGGCTAGCCAGGACTACATAGAGAGACTGTGTCTCAAACTAACAAAACAACAAACAAAAAAATTAAAACTAGTAATAAGAGTCAAAGCATGACACACTACTATATAATTTTGGAACAAAACTATTAGAAGTAAGAGAACAGAGCTGGAGAGACGGCGGTTAAGACCACTTGTTCTCCTGCAGAGGACCCAGGTTTGATTCCCAGCACCCACACTATGGCTCACAAACTGTAACTCTAGTTCCAGGGGACCCAGTGCCCTCTTCTGACCTCTGTGGGTACAGGGCATGCTCATGTGCACATATATGCAGGTGAAACACCCATACACAGAGAATTTTTGGAAGAAAGGAGGAAGAGAGGGAGACAGGCAGAGAATGAAAGAAAGGGAGAGAGGGAAGGAGACAGTGAGGGAGG